GAAAGCAGAGGACCTATACTCGAAACAGGGAGAATTCTAGAGGTTCTAAATAGTAGGAGAGGGGAGATAACATGGTTCGGGTACCATGATTCGTAGCAGAGTGTGTTTCCATCTTACCAATTATCCGACAATGGGTATTCAAACTGAGAATGGATATATGGTAAACTATGGTGCCAGAGGGCCATGTCAGTTGAGCTTCGACAAAGTGTACCTTTCCAGGAAAAATTGAGTTTAGATCTCAAGGAGTTGACTGGTGAGCGGCCACTTGGAGTCACGGGACTTGAGAAAAAATGGAGATGATACGTTGTGGAGGATAGCGGTCTGGGTTGAGTGATCGACTGATGGTTGAGATGCCGCTTGTGTGACGAGAATCACACTATTTCCGCTTCTCATGTGGAGCGAAAGAGATAACGAGTTTTCGGTTTCATAGTTTAGAGATAAACCCCGTGGAGTAGCATATGGTTGCGATATTTTCACCAAAGTAATTGTGGTATGTTTTCTACAAGGTATTTTTTATATCGTGAGAAGTCATCAGTGGGGACTGAGATGGAAGAGAACAAGGAGATACCTTAATGAGTGAGGCATACTTTTTAGCTGCAGTTCCAGGTGATTAAGATTAGTATACCGGGGCGACGACCATCATTTTCTACGTTGTGTATCGACTGTGAGAGTGAGGTCTCTTGCTCTGATGATGATTCCCGCGATGGGAGGTTGGTCGAGGAATCAGAGACGAGGTGTGTGATAGTTCATTATATTCCAAATTGAGAGTCATGACTAATTCGGGACAGTTGGGATATCCAACGGTGTGTCGCTCTGAGACTTCGAGATGACTAGAGGCAGCCACATTGGGAGGATTTTGAGATTTTCATGAGTTACGGGATACTTGGAGTTATTTGGTCATTATCTGGAAGATCATCGAGTGTTGTGTGGTACATTCCATGAGGCAGAATTGGTACATCTGGCGAGCCAGTCTGTAGAGTGGCCTGTTTGGTATGTCAATGGATGATGATTCAAACCCTAAGTGGGGGAGAATTGGGTATTCTGTGAGGGATGATCCTCAATCTGATGTGGAATAGAAACTGGGTTGTGAGCATTTGCGGTGCGAGTGTATGAAACAGGAGTCATGTGGTAGTCGAGATAGTGTACAACACGATATGATGCATGTCACATATCCTATGGAGAAAATAGGTGATATCACGGTAGGTGGCCGGAAGACAGGAATCTGATTATGGTTAGTATTTCTTCGAGCGTACCAGTGTATGAGTTTCAAGATGGTTAGGTTTCCAAGGTCAAGATCCGATTTCGGAGAGACTAATAGTTCGACGTATGAATTGTATTTGTACTTTGGGAGGGGCGGTAGTTAATTTGTCAATCAACTACAAGGTCGATATGAGTAATTCGCATGGGTCTGGTCAGTAGTAGATGGGACTTTAGATTGTTATCAACGTGTTCTCAGTTGTGACGATTCCTCTGTGCTTCCAGTTGTGAGTTGGAATACTTCAAGGCTTCGAGATGTGTGAGTGGAAGATCAATGGTTGTGGCAAGACATTGTGAGATTCCGTAATGGTGCATCGAGGTATCCGAGTATGATACCCTAGGTTGTTGGATTATTATGAGACTTGGGTGTGTCAGACAGCAAGTGGACCATCAAGCGACTATATTTTTAGATGTGAGATCATCAACTAATGGTCGCCAGACGGGAATTTTCCAAGAATGTGAACTGTAGCAAGAGAAAGAGTTTTGTTGCGATGATTTTCATCAGGAGTAGTGATGATTAATCTGGGTGTGTGTGTGTACCTATCTATGTTGGATCGTGGAGTATTCGATGGTGAACCCAGTGTGGTGATGACTTGATGATGAGAATATGGGATGATAAGAGAGTGAACGGATCCTGTGGGGGTAATCACTTAGGACTGTCAGGGAAGACCATGGAGAGAGCCCATGGAGAGTAAGAGAGGGTATCGTGTGATTGCGGAGGGCCGTAACATACGTGAGTCAGAGAGAGATTATTGTGTGACTGAGGAGAGTCGTATCATATGTGAGTCAGAGATAGAGAGAGAGAGAGAGTATCATGTGATTACGGAGAGCCGTAACATACGTGAGTCAGAGATAGAGTATTGTGAAACTACGGAGACCCATAGCATATGTGAGTCAGAGAAAGAGAGTGAGAGAGAGAGTATTGTGTGACTACTGAGAGCCATAATGTATGTGAGTTAGAGAGAGTATTGTGAAACTGCGGGGAGGTGTAGCTTTCACTAGTCAGCAAGAGAGTATTGTGAAACTGCAGGGAGCTGTAGCTTTCACTGGCCAGCAAGAGAGTATTATGAAACTGCGGGGAGTCGTAGCTTTCACTAGTCATCAAGAGAGTATTATGAAACTGCAGGGAGTCGTAGCTTTCACTAGTAAACTGCGAGGATCCGTAGCTTTCACTAGTCAACGAGAGAGTATTGTGAATCTGCAGGGAGTTGTAGCCTTCACCAGTCAACGAGAGAGTGTTGTGAAACTGCGGAAGACCATAGCTTCCACCCGTCAATGAGAGAGTTTAGTAAGGTTGCGGGGTGTCGTAGCTTTCACTAGTCATCAAGAGAGTATTATGAAACTACGGGGAGCCATAGCTTTCACTAGTAAACTGCGAGGATCCGTAGCTTTCACTAGTCAATGAGAGAGTATTGTGAACCTGCGGGGAGCTGTAGCCTTCACCAGTCAACGAGAGAGTGTTGTGAAACTGCGGAAGGCTATAGCTTCCACCAGTCAGTGAGAGAGTTTAGTATGGCTGCGGGGTGCCGTTGCACTCATTAATCAGTGAGTGAGACGTTGTAAATTGCGGAGATCCATAATCTTCACTAGTCAAAGCATGGTGCAAAGGAGTTCTTAGGCTTGGGTAGCCTTACCAATTAAGTCTTTGGGAAACTGGAGGCCAGACTAGGGGCAAGGTTGGGGTCTCCTTGATGGTCGGGAATCAGTATATCTCGAGTTAGGGAGGGTTTATCGCAATTGGAAGGAATTCGAGAAGTAGTGTACACGTGGATTTGCAAATCACTGGTCGTAAGTTGAGTATTAGATTAGAGATGAGTGGTCCCAATTCTGCTATCGAACCAGACTCTTGAGTTTGAGTTTGGCTCTAGTGGTGTATTGGGTAGACAGGATGAGATTTCGTATGTTCATATGGATTTCATTTCGAGAGGTAATGATTTTCTTCTGATGTCTTAGACCTGAGTGGGTCAGTTCGTTGTTTTGGGAAGGATCACGAGATGCATGGAACTAGTGAGTGGTAGACGATAAAAGTCGGGGGGTGAGGTGACTTTAGAAGGGGTTGTAGTGTTCGCTTGAAGTAAGATGAACTTCGTGACATCGTATGTCACATGATGGGCTGAGATAGCTAGTGCGAGAAGGGATTATAAAGTTGACTTGTTGGGTGTGCAGTGAGTAGTCATTGGAGGTTCAACTGTTGGGTTGGGAGTTGACCTGGTGCTCAATTTCGGAAGGACGATTTGAGTGGAAACTGGGGCTCATGATTGTAGTTGTGATAGGATCGTTCCGAGCGGACATGATCGTTTTCTTGTGTCTGAGGATAGAGTTTTGAGGTTCATTCTTTCAGACAGTATTGTAAAACTCGCCAAGTTTGCCGATTACTCCTCCGAGTACTCGCTACTCGTCCCCTTACCGAGGGGAGTTATAGAATCCCGAGTAGTCCCCAATCGGCCCCTTACTGAACTGATCAGTGTTGTAAAATTCATTCAACTCGGTGATTAATATCTACAATATACTTAACGATTTATTATTTAACACACACATGTGATTGTTACTACATATATATCTTAAAATTTCAATAATTATTCACGAAGTGAGACGATTATGTGTTTTTCATTTTTTTGTATTCACATGTATCTAATTTTGTAATATATTTCAATGAGTTTAATATTTTAACTTATGATTTTGACATATATAAGTTTCCTAAAAATATTTCTACATGAATTACCGAATTCGAGTACTCCCCGAGTACTCCTGAGTACACACTACTCGTAGTCGGCCGAATAGGTACCGATTAACGAGTTGTACAACCTTCCTTTTAGATGAGTTATGATAGTTGTTCAGGCGGTGGATCCTTGGTGGAATGTGACCCTTCCGTTCCTTTTGAGCTACAATCTGGATCGGTTAATATATCTGGTATGAGTGATCGGTAGCCAATTATTGGTCAACGATTTGTTTCCATCGGCACAACAAGAAAATCAGAGTTGGCAGTGTGTTATCGGGGTCTGTTATTCGATGAGCGAGTAACATAATGATATCTTGCATGGGTGGTATAGCAGGGAGACAGACCACTAGAGTTTCCAGGTTCTGGAGAGTCAGAACTGGTACACAGCGGCAGAGGGATCCGTTCTGTTTCGGGATTGGGAGTTCCTGATTAGGTTCAGGTGTCTTGGAAGGGAGATTGTTGTATGATATGAGATCTATGGTGGTGCTTCTCGGGTTATTTGGTTTGATCTATGTGTTGTCAAGGAGCGATTTCGAGGGCAAAATCTAATTCAAGTGGGGGAGAATTGTAACATCCCGACTCCCAGATATATATATATATATATATATATATATATATATATATATATATATATATATATATATATATATCACTACAAGAAAAAGGCCCTTTTACGATGTGCAAACCACGACACTCGTTGATTAATGTTACATAAAAGAGAGTGACATTAAAAAAGTGTCATCTCTTCAAAAAATTTAAGGATTTAGGTCACGCGTTATTGCGTGCCCTTAAATTAGTGTCATAAGAAAAAAAAAATTAAAAACACAGAGGGCGTTGTATTTTAAACGCGCGCCCTCTATAAGTGTTGATTTATAATTTTAGTGAAACGCGCGTTTATCAGATAAGGGGGAAAATGAAATTCCCAAATTATTGGAAACCCGCTTTTCTTCCTTCTTTCTATCTTTCATCCCCTTTCCATCCTTCTCCCTCTTCTCGGATCTGCTTCTCCCCTCTCCACCACGCCATGATGAACGAGATCTCTTCATCAATCAGAGATACCATCCGACAACGACCTTCATTTTCTCCCTCCCTTCTCCCTACAAAACCTCGCCTTGTGTTATCCTCTTCCTTGTTTCCACCAGTCGAAAATCGCTTCTCCTTAGAAGCCCAACATCCGATTGACGGGTTCGATTCTCCTCTTTTGGTTACGCAAAGGTATGTTGTGCTTACTAGGTATGTATCTCTTCTCTCAACCTCGGTTCTATTTTTTACATCAAGCACAAGAAAGATATCGTGCCTTTTTATCCTCTTTTCCATTCTCTGGGTTCTCCTTCCCACCCCATCTCCATCATTTTACCTCTTTAACATATTTCCATAAGAAAACCCTAATTTTTTTTTTTGCTATATGAGTGTTTGTTTACAGGTCCTAAACAAATTGTACCCTTATAGCCTTTTTCATTTTCAACAAATACACCACTTCAGCCTTCATTGTCTTCTCCAGATATTTCAACAACCTCAGGTAAAGATTTCTCGTTCTTCTGGTATGCCATAATTTTTCCTATTTTTCCAATCAATGTGTGTTTCATTGACTATTAAAAGCTAATTTTTAATATTTTACTATTTATGCTAGTTAATGGAGTGTGCGGAAGGGAGTACATGGTTAAAAAAACAAATTATTATCTTATTGATTAGCGATTAATGGTGTTGAGCTTTAACCAATTTCAGGCCCTCTATTTATTATTCTTTTATAAGCTAGATTGTTGTTTTCTTTCCTTTTTATAAGTTGAATTGTTGCTAGAAATTATAGTCATCTATTTAAAGAAGGTGTTGGAATGTGAGTTCAAATTGATGACCCTTTTACATATAAATTTGATTAACAGATTGTACAAGGAAATGCAAAGAATAATTATGGGAAGGAGGTTAAGTATTAATCTCATGAATGCTTCAAACGTATGTGTTTCTCTCAATTCACCTTTTGAAGGACCTAGCAAGTGTCTATATTGCAGAACATGTAAGTTTTTTTTCCCTTTCTTTTATGGGTAAACTATAGGAAATAACCTCCTACTTTATTACTCTGTATAGGATGTATATGTAACAAATCTAATTAAAAAAATCATGTTTTTAAGGAAAAGTGAAGGAAGTGTTGAAACTTGATGAAGAGATGAAAGATCTTGGAAAGTCTTTGATCTCTGAGCAATCACTTCTTATGTTTGGAAGAGGGTATAACTATGCAACAACTCCTGAGTGTGCATTGAAGGTGAAAGAAGTGGCACTTATGCACAGTGAAGGGATACTTGGTGGTGAAATGAAACATGGAGCCTTGGCTTTAGTTGATGAAAACCTTCTAATTGTTGTCATTGCTACTTGTGATCAATGCTTCAGGTTTGTTTATTTATTTAATTATTTTGGAATATATAGATAGACAGAAGGGTAAGTTGGTCTTTTACTCACATTCAATATGTTTTCGTTTATTAATATTTAGAATTTTTTTTTGAACAGCAAACAACAACTAGTTATTCAACAACTGAACGTTACATTAGTGTTTGTCTAGAACTTATCAAAATCAAAGTCAACTATGTTGTTCAAGAAGCCATTACAGTCATCAAAGACATTTTCAGAAGATACCCAACACGTAAGTTTCAAAAACCTTTGTATTCCAAAATACAACTTTTTAATCCAATATTTTGTTTTAGATATGAATCTATTATAGTCACACTTTGTGAGAGGTTGGATACATTAGATGATCCAGAGGCTAAGGCATCAATGATTTGGATAATTAGTGAATATGTTGAAAGAATCGATAATGCTGATGATCTTCTAGAAAGTTTTCTAGAAACCTTTTCCGGAAGAACATGCACAAGTTTAGTTACGGTTATTAATTGCAACTGTAAAACTTTTTCTTACAAAACCAACTGAAGGACCACAAAAATGATCCTGATGTTTGTTTTTTTTCGTGATCGTGATCATGCTTATAACGAGAGATAAATAAAGTTATTACTATTTTTGTTTTTGTTGTCTCCAAAACCTATAAGTGGAAAATAATTGCCTTGAACTGACGTGATGGAAGATTAGGCCCTAACATCAATGAAAACAAGTTGATTCAGAAAAAAAATATATTATAAAATTTGTTTTTTGGTAAGTTTGTGGATACCTTAGTTTATGCCTTTAAGCTACAACACAAAATCTTCACCCCACACGGTTACACTCTCTTTATGGATCATGATTTTATGTATCTTTGTGTCATATTCTGTTGATCAAATATTGTTGTGTGTATCATTATAAAAAGTGGATAGGTTAGTGTAATCAATTGGGATTTGTTTGGTTTTGTTATAAAAAAACACAAAAATTTTATCTTTTTTGAAACTATGTTCGGTTGCTTGTCCGGTCCCATTCAGTCATATTGTTTCATCCATTTGACCCTATTACTTCACCACGTTACCCCAACATGATTTGTTTTTTGTCACAGGGTGAAAAAGAGTGTGCATACTATATGACAACAGGGCAATTTAAATTTCACCATCCACAGCCAGATGGCATGGTGGCATCACCAATACCTTTATCAACTATGCCTTCTGCTATGTACCCAATTGTGTAATCTCCTTCTTTTGCCTCTTCTCAAGCTTATGGGGTGTTGACTGGTAACTGGCCCGTGCTCGTGCCACCTGGCATGGTCCTGTTTCCCGGTTGGAATCCTTACCAAGTATTTCCAATATGCTTTTTTTCTTGAGTAACTTACATTTTTTTTATAGCTTCACCCATATTGGGCATATGCTTCACATTTGGATTGACGGGAGTACTTTTCATAGGACAATCAATATAATTGAGTTTTTTAGTCTAAAGTAATAAATCGTACAATATAGGTTTTAAATAATGCCATTGTGGAAACTGACAATCCAGATCTTCATGATAGTGCTTATATATATATATATATATATATATATATATATATATATATATATATATATATATATATATATATATATATTGGTGTCTTCTTTCAACAGATCCCGATGTTTGTTTTTTGCTTAAATGTTTTAATTTTAATTTAAGTATTATAATTTTTAGAGTAAATTACATTCTTGTAATGTTTGTGTACTTGTTTCAGAGTGAAATAGCTATACTTTTGGGACAAAAGTAGTCATTTTACTTGTTCACAAGTTTGTACTTGATGCTTATTTTCTTGAGTCTTGACTTGAGATTCATTTTCGTTCAGCATTATTTTCATAAGGAATATGGTGTGGTTCATGTTTATGCAGATAAAGATTGTAAGATATCATGATTCTTGATGGTGGTGGTGCTTTTTCCAGTTGCTGATGCAACGACATTTTTTATTGACCTTCATCACATCCTTAAGATATTAGTTGTGGGATTGTGAAGGCAATGAGATTAAAGCATGGAGAGGAATACGGATGCCAAAGGTGTTAGATATTTTTGTTACTTCAAATGGCGAATATTTGATTACTATTTTTTCAGATAAAGATATTTGGATACTAAACGTGGCTACAAATGTTGAAATAGTTATCTCTGAAGAACACCGATTACATCTTTTTAGTTTCTGGTGACAGCAAGTATTTGATTGTTAATCTTAATAGCCAAGAGATTCATATGTGGGATGTTGATGGGTTATGGGAAAAGCCTTTGAGATATAAGGGCCATAGGCAACATAAATATGTCATTCGTTCTTGCTTTGGTGGGGTTAGTAGCACCTCTATTGCCAGTGGCAGCGCAAATTCACAGGTATATATAAATACCTATGAATTTACCTAACTATCCCTAAATTTCATCAGCTCATTATCCTTAAGTTTATTCTCTAATAATTGTGAGAGCAAGTGTATATCTGGAATCGAAGTGGTTGTGATCCAATTGAGGTGCTTTCTGGTCATTCAATGACTGTAAACTGTGTGACCTGGAATCCTAGGAGACATCAAATGCTAGCATTCAGCTAGTGATGATCAAGCCATTCACATATGGGGACCAAATTCCTCACAAAAGATGCATCTAAAGGGGCTCATATGAGATATGTAATCATAACTTGTAATTATTATCAAGTCATAACATCTTTTTCCTTTCTGAATGTGTTGTTGACTTATTTTGGTTCTTGTGCTCTTGTCACGTACTTAATTGATTTAGATGCAGTAGTTCGTGGATGAACAAAAGGGATGCTCCTATATTGAATCCAAACCTCTTCATTATATTAGATGGATATGACAAACTAGAATCCAAAACATTCAACCTAAATTAAAATGTTCAGAATCAAATTATTAGTTAAGAATGTTGAATTAGATTATGCTTCAGTAAATTTTAATGTCATATTTTCAGGTTCCAGCTACAAGTAGGAAAGGAGTTGGACCTTCTATGTTAGAAGGGAAAAGTGGCTATGGTTCAACCATGCAAGACTCACCAAAATTCACATATGGAGACTACCCTGCAGCTACCCAAAAGTATGGCCAGAAAGGGGAAAATATGCTCATTTTTGGTTTTTTATAATCATTAGATGGTGATAATGGAAGGTTTTTCCTAAAGTCTTTTGTTGTTTTGTTTTTTTAGTTCTTGGAGTTGGAATTGGTTCGACTTATTGCTTCTTTCAAACCTCTTATAGTCATTACTAAGGTTACAGACATAATGAGTATGATCATTAAGAGCCCTCTTCTTTCCCCACTTCCTTCTCAGGTCTGATTATAAAAAATGACCATCTTACCTTCTATCTAGAAAAATGACCATTTTACCTTTTTGAATTCAAATTTCAGAATATAACCATACTAGAAAGCATTCCACTTGTTGTGGGGAATGTTTTGGGAGCTGTTTTTGATGGTCAAAATGATGAGAATGGGAGTGCTTCTAATGCTCAACTTTCTTCTTGCAGAATTCTAGAAGGTTTTTTTTTTTATACTTTTTTACTGTCTGTATACTCTCAGATATTTTAGCTCCTAACCTGATTGCCAATAGCTGTCAAGGTGTGCTTTTCACTTTTTTTATACAAAATCCAGTTTGACATACTTTATTTAAATATTTACTTATTTACCATGCCTTTTTTTATACAGGATCCTACAACTAGTAGTTCTATACATGCAAGATTACATATTTGCACAAGACCTTCAGTGAGTTATGATGATGTCCACTTAATGGCAATGTAGTATTACGTTATATAGTTAGCAATGATTATTTGTATTTGACATTTTAGTGCAATGAATTATCTTTCTTATTTATTGTATTTTATTTTGTATTTTGTATGACGTTAACTTTTGTGCAATGGATTGTACTTTTTGTATATGGTATTCTATTTTCTATTATGAGACATGAAATGCAAATTAAATTTGAAAATTAGTAAATCTATAAATATTTAAAAATAAATAAATAAATAAAAATTACGATACGCAAAAATGTGTGTCATCTTCATTTATGACATGGCCTTTCTTGACAGTGTCTTTAATGATACGCATTGCGTGTCATAAATGCGCGTCGTCTCTCGTTATGACAGGGCCTTCCTTGACGTGCATTTGCGCGTCGTCTGTACGTTTTACGACGCGCAATGAGCGTCATAAAAGGCCTGTTTTCTAGTAGTGGATAATTCATGGTTCCCTTGAGATACTGAAACACTGTATTCACTGCTTGCCAATGTTGAGCACTAGGATTGCTAGTGTACCTGCTCAACTTACCCACAACAAAAGCAATATCAGGTTGGTACTTTTCATGGCATACATCAAGCTACCAATAGCCTTATAGTATTCCAATTGTGAAATGGGAATGCCATTATTTGGAATTAATTTCACACTTGGGTCCATAGGAGTACTCACAGGAGAACAATCGGTGAAATTAAACCGTTTGAGAACTTTCTCAATATAATGACTTTGAGTCATTACCAATCCTTTGTTCATCTTCTTAATTCTTATTCCAATAATTACATCAGCCTCTCCTAAATCTTTCATGGAAAACTTGGATGATAACAATTTCTTTGTTTCAACCACTTGATTTTGGTCAATACCAAAAATCAACATGTCATCTACATATAAGCAAATGATCACTCCAGCTCTAGTAGTATCATCAAATCTACTATAAACAAATTTGTCACATTGGTTTGTCTTGAAACCAAAAGACAAATCACCTCATCAAATTTTTGATGCCATTGTTTAGGCACCTGTTTTAGCCCATACAAAGATTTGACAAGTTTACAAACCATATGCTCTTTACTGGGCATAATGAAACCTTCTGGTTGTTTCATGTAAACTTCTTCGTCAAGATCACCATTTAAAAATCTGTTTTCACATCCATTTGGTTAATAACCAGATTGTGGATACTTGCTAAGGCAACCAACAATCTAATAGTAGAATTACCTGCAACTGGAGCATACGTATCAAAATAGTCAATACCGGGTTTTTGTCTAAAACCTTGAATGACTAACTGGGCTTTGAAATTTTCAATAGTCCCATTAACATTCATTTTCTTTTTGAAAATCCATTTGCAACCAAGAGGTTTAGAACCTAGAGGCAAATCAGACAATACCCATGTGTTGTTCTCAAGAATTGATGACATTTCATCATCAATTGGTTCCTTCAAGAAGGCACTATCATGAGACTCCATGGCCTATTTTGCTTCTACGAATATCTTGTGGTTCTTGCACGATACCACCATATTGACTTCCAGAATTTTGCTCTTTATTAGCACCAAAAGTCAGATCCTGAGGCCTTTGAATCGATGAAAACCTCATCTCATAAAAAATTGCATCCCGCGATTCGATAACAGTGTTAATTGAAACCATATCATTAGGTTCTATTACATAAAACATATATGCCTTGGAATGTTCAACGTATCCAATGAATATGCAATCAATTCCACGCTCTCCCAAAATTTTCTTTTTGGGCTCGGTAAGTTTTACAACTGCCCGCCATCCATAAACCCGAAAATAACTCAAATTCGGCTTTTTCTTGAACCAAAGTTTGTATGTGACTGTTTTGTTCTTTTTATTTGGAACCCTATTTATCAAATAATAGTTCGTTAACATGGCCTCTCCCCAGAATCCTTCACTCAATCCCGAGTATGATAACATTGAGTTTACCATTTCCTTTAAAACTCAATTTTTACGTTCAACAATACCATTTTGTTGGGGCGTGTAAGGTGTCGTGGTCTCATGAATGATACCCACTGATTAGAAGTATATGGGATCCATATATTCACCTTCCCTATCAGTCCTAAGATATTTAACCGAAATGTCCAATTGTAATTCCACCTCAGTTTTTGTATATTTAGTATTTATCTAAGGCTTCATCCTTGGAATATAACAAATACACATAGCAGAACCAAGTGTAGTCATCAATAAAGGTGACTACATACTTTTTATTTCCCAAAGAAGGAGTGGAATGAAAATCACACAGATCACTATGTACAAGTTCCAAAACAGTTGAATTTCTAGTGACACTAGGAAAGGGTTGTTTTGTCACTTTTGTAAGCATGCATGTTTTACATTTATCAAATGTCATATCAAAGGCTAGAATTAATCCATATTTTGACATCTCATGCATCCTTCTAAAGTTGACATGACCTAATCTTACACGCCAAAGCATAGATTTATCAACATTAGAAGCAGAAGATATAAATATAGAATTCTGAATAGATAATAATTTGTCAACAAGATTAAAAACGAAACATTCTATTATTTAAATATCCAAACCCAATAAACATTCCACCCTTAGACAAAACAAACTTATCTGACTCAATAACTTGTTTAAAACCAGCTGAATTCAAACAACTAGAGCTAACAAGATTTTTGCGAATCTTGGGAACAAAGAAAACATCAAATAACTTAATTGTCTTTCCAGAAATAAATTCAAGACACACGGCACCTAAACCACAAATAGGAATAAAAGAATCATCTCCCATTTTCAGCACCGACCCATCTTTAAGCGGAGTTAATGTTTCAAACATCCGTTTATCCTTGTATACATGGTTCGTTGCTCCGGAGTCGATCCACCAAGCAACATCATCATCCTACACATAGAACAATTCAGGGATAAATGAAACATAATAAACATAATTATGATTAGAATTATCAAAGTTAGTAAAAAACTGACCTCCTTTAACTTGGGACGAAGACCTGTTCACTTTCCCATTGGCTCCACTGTTTCCAGCACGATTGTTGCCGAAATTCACACGACAATCACGCTTACAATGCCCAACTTGATTGCACATCCAACAAACTAGATCATTTCTATTTTTGTTGGAGTTGCTTGGGACATGTTCCTGCTTACGTTTTCCATGTCTTTTGTGGTTCTAGTTCCTTGGTTTGTTTTCAACCATATGAGTCGAGGGCTGTCTAGGTTCAACTTTTCCTTTGGGTTTATAAGATTTGTCACTTTCCTTCGCACGAAGAGATTCTTCAATACGATTGTGACTAGCAAGTTGAACCAATGATAGTTCCTCCTTTTTATGTTTCAAGTTATGTTTAAAGTCTTTCCAGGATGAAGGTAGTTTGTCCATGATAGTGGACACAACAATGGATTCATCCATATTCATACGGTCCAGTTTAAACTGACCTTAAATCTTCCATCTTATAATTACAAGGAGTTCATTGTATTGTTCAGTGACAGACCTTGAATCTTCCATCTTATAATTATTAAAGTTACTGACCAGAAACTTCTTGCTAGAAGCATCCTCAGTAACATATTTCAGTTCAAGGGTATCCCACAACTCATTAGCGCACAAGGCTTCACTATGGATATCAAATAAAGTATCAGACATACCGTTCAAAATGTGACCTTTGAAGATGTAGTCATCATTGTCCCACTTCTGTCTCTTTCTTGTCTCTTCAACCATCTCAGTAACACCTTCAGCAGGCTCTGCTGGTTTTGGAGTAGTCAGCATGTAAGCTGCTTTCAAAATGGTCTGCATGAAGTGCATCTTTTTCTTCCAATGCCTGAAGTCAATGCCTTCAAACTTCTCCAGCTTGGCTAATTTAGTGGTCATCTCGCGGATTGAGTCACCAATCCCCAGAAATAGAATATATCAGTTCGAATGTAGGGAAAATTAGGGTTTATGGTGGAGATCTGGATACCAACTTGGATCGTGATATCACTTTCCGAACTGATATTTCTACCCTATGCCTGGGTTACAAGAAATTCAACCTAGGATAATCCAAGTGGACACTTACAATTCTAGGCACATAAATCGTAAGCGAATATGCTAAAGGATTCTATGAAAGTCTAATAAAACGAGAGCTTAAGATCGTAACCCTCTTCTAAAGAGGAAGAGCTGTTTATATATTAAACGAGATTTGAGTTTCATTAGGTTTGGGCCGTCAGTAGTTGCTTTGGAAGCAAGTCACGATAATCCGGATTTAATGAGGATTTAGGGTTACCAAAACTAACGAGTTTTGTTAGTTTTACCATAATCACCCTCAAGAAATTGAATTTTCCACTATGTTCCCATATGTAAAATTAGGTGAGGTTTTGGGGCGCTGCCCTCGACCCTAGTCAGGGCTCTGCCACTTGGATGCCGCTAGGGGCGCTGCCCCTTTGGAAACCCTGGGCCCTCGACTAGTCATTGAACTGACTTCTAATTTGATCTTATACATGCGTGCACTCCGCACAACCCCGTACATACATTAGAGTACAAATTATGAAGCCCCTTAGCTCACATGTTAGTTCCAGTTACTTAAAATGACATGGTGATACGAAAATCACAAACGGAATTTCCCACCTTGACCTTACACTACGTGGCTTAGCTGTGAAATGATCCTCAACATTCTACCCGTTGGATAAGGTGTCTAAGTCCATAACTTATTTGGTACATACTTGACCCGACCCGACATGGTCCATTTGGGTTGCATTTCATCCAAACGATTTATGGATAATTTTATGAGAATTGTATACTTACGATTTATTAATATATTATAAGTTATAATATATTAATATGAAGTCATGTTATTTAATTAGTTTTAGTCTTAAATTAATTATGAATTAATTTAGAGATTAAAAAGAAGACTGATTAAATTATGGGCTATTATATTTTATATAGTGTGGGCTAATACTCATTTGTTAATGGGCTAAGCTAATATGGAAGTCC